GACGCAAGCAGTGGGTATTCCATGGATTGTGGGAACTGGTGGGTAGCCCGGTGTCATCGGGTGACCTGCAAATGCGGGGGAACTAAAAAGGCAGAACCGTCACGGTTTATGAAAAGAATTTGATCAAAAGGTCACTAGACCATAAAATAACAGAAATGCGGTAACTGCCAACTTAGTACGCAAATTACATACTGAGGCACATTTTGCTGATGGTGCGTGACACCGGAAAGCATAGTGCATGGTTGACTTTGTTACAAATCGGCGGTGATTTACCCTAGTTTATCTGCTAATAACGAACGGAAAATTGTAACAGCAGATGCGGTTTACTAATCTCCTTACTCGGTGGATGGCATTATATTTGATTCCCAGTCCAGATCCACAATCCACAAATAAAGAGAAATCCATGGTGTTAAAGACTTGATTTTCTATCAGGACACTACAAATTAATTTGTCTCGTTAGGTTAACTGTTGGCTACTGGCGTGCACGCGGGTATCGAACAGCGTAGATATCTTCAGCTACTAAGAAGGTAGCAGCAAATTAGGGTAAGTCCGGCAAAAAAATAAGCTGGAATCAGCAGTGGCACTGCCTTCTGGGCAGGGAAATGTAGGGTAAAGCACACTAACAACCAAATAAACTGTCATAACGTCGGCTGATGGTACAGTGACTTTGTGACCGTACCCGGTCGCTAAAATTCGGTTCCTTTGCCACAAACGCTTAGGTGTTGGGTTTGAATAATCCAAAGTTTTGTGGAATGCAATATCAAACGACCCGGGCGGCTGTTGCGGAGCCACGGCTAACGAAGCTCCAAATAAAACATAAATTTTGTATTGCGGCCGGACCGGTGAACGCTATTTTCATGTAGTTTTAAATACAAATTTTTGAGTCGATAAGAATTATTCATTCATTTTTGTCGAAATATGGCCAAATAAGACTTCTTAACGAAAAAATTGCAGCAGGTACCTGCCAGTGGAGAAACCCGAACGTCTTCGTCGTCGCAAGTAACTGCTGTCGCAGGCCCACGGATCGCGCGCCATGGAAATGTGCACTTGCGGATCGACATAGGTAAAGCCCTCAAAGACGTCACAAACGGAGGCCGAGATGGGCACACCCTCGTCAGGACTCTCCACTGGGTTTTCGTTGGTGAACTGTGGATCGAAACGCGAAACATCCGTTTCGGAAGTCAGCGTGGGTTTGAAGGGGGGTTCTACCTGCCGCGCATACACCTGGTCCCAATTGGTGTTTCGAAAGAAGGGATGAGCTTTGATTTCCTCGGCATCCTCTTCCTTGGAACCCAGTCGTTCAGCGACGTTCTTCCGCAAAAGCTAGAAAACAGACAGGGATTTGTAAGGGGCGCCCTGTGCGAAACTGAAGGCGTATGGAAAAATAGGACATCTCGGAAATTGGGCGGCAGCCAGCCCCAAATTGCATGAGCCGATGCGTGGATAAGGTTTCAATCGAGTTTAACTGCGGACAACGGATGGGGACGAACGATTCTTATTAACAGACTGGAAGGAATTTGCCGACCACGGTTGAGAGAAAAAAGAGTGTTGTGGACGCTAAACGAGTTTTGACTATTTGCAGTAAGCTGACGCACTTTGGGATAGTGGGAATCTACGGAAGTGATTAAGACTGGGATTCAAGTTCCCAATAATATTACGCTGCCGTGTATTGCAGTCTCATTTTCTGTTGATTATGAGTACCTTGACGAGTGACGAACTGCTAGCGCGACGAAGTGAGAAGGCAAAGGATGATAAAAGTATTCTCACTTCGCGGTGTGTCTGAATTAAAGATAAGTGTCGAGAGGGCGTGGTGGTGTCTTTTCGTGGGCGGAGGACACTGCTTACCAGTGTGATTTCAGAATGCAACCAGCAGTATCCTGTAAATGTGTTTTTTATGAATGAGACAGGTGTCTGAACCTTGAAGGCCATGTCGATCACTGTAAGAAAACACTGCTCTCGTCTGTAAAGTACATTCTTAATCTGTAAGTTTCTACAGTAGCTGTGCATGATGTAGCCCAAAGTACGAAGCGAGGCAGGAGTTTCCTTGGTAGTGGAGGAATACAACTCCACATTTCCAGCTTTGTCGACAGCGAATCGAGCTCGATTCGGTTTAGGGATTAGGCTTATGGTTAGGGTTAGATGTTGGGGTTAGGGTAAGTGCTAGGGTAAGGGTTA